GTTCATGTCGTGTAACTTAAGAAAAACATAACGGTGTTTTGTCGAATGTAATGCCATCGTATTTCATCGTTTTTTATATAAACTAACTGGCAGGTTCTAACTGGGTTATTAAGTCTCTAGCCTAACAACCACTGAAATGTGCAAAATCGGGCTCTTTTAAAAGACGCAACCATGCATGGACTGCGAAAGTGTGTGCATTACAAATTTAAAGTACAGCATCCCATTTTTCCCCGATCAATGAAGACATTTAGCATCCACAGGGACGCAGGGTAAAGCCAACACGTCGCTATTTTGCGCAAGCCAATTTAAGGAGAAGAAATGTTAAATGAATGTTAAGTTCTTGTAAGCCGGGTCAAAATATCAATTCAGATGAAATTCCGGGCAGAATGACAAAGTTATTTTGGCGGCAATTTGCAATAAGCTACTGATTTCTTGCTTAAGGTTAAAAAAAAGTGGAACGTATTTTATTTGCATTCACTGTCGACCGTTACCAAAACAATTCAGTTTGTCGATGCGCCACCCCATGCATAAGGAAACCGTTAAAGATATTTAAAAATCAATAGCTGTTTGTTCGTTGATTCGGTTTGCATATACAAAAAATATTATTTAACAAACGTTATCGACACTTAACTTTGATGCTGAGGTTTCAAATTTAAATGGATTTAAGTTTAAAGTGTCTACGACATCCTGCACTCTGATCCCGACAAACGGATAAGTAGCCGTTTAGTACTCCCCTCAGATTGACCGAAATAAAGTCACGAGATCAACGGGGTGTATTAGCGGTCGCATTTTAACCCTTTGCAACATTTGCCCTGAATTATTCTGACACATATTCTGTCTGCCTTCTGGTACTTCAAAGGCTTGTAATATTAATCAGTATCCTTGAATTTATATAATGCCTTTACTTGGTGTTATCGTTTTGTGTTTCTAATAACTCTTTGTTCTTCGTACAGTATAGTCTTGATTGATGGTGGTTGGCTGTATGTTGGAATAGTCTCAGAAATACATATTCTGCGTGAAAGCACAGAACTTGAGAGACGAAACAGCCAACACGTGACGCGCTGTCTTTTGATTCAACGCGCCATAGAAAAAGACAATATTGGTTCACAAAAGCATAAAAAACCAGCCAGATCTTTCAAAGATCCAAGCCTACAAAAATGAGATTTATGACTGTCTGCCAGATACAAAAAAGAAACACTGTAATCCACTGGTAATCAGAAAAAGAGAAAAAAGAAGGCTGGTGCCACCAACGGCAAATCACTGCCGGAAGACCATGGAACGCAGTGAGGACGGCCGACGTTTTTGCGTAGGCCACCTGATTAGAAAGTTTCGGTCAGAAGCATTTTCACTAAAACGTTGATTTACTCAATATCTTGTTGAGATATTTTCGCAAAAAATGTAAACTTATAAAGATTCCCACAGAAAGTAAGAGCAAAAAATACATATTCCTTTGAAGTCTTGTTTGTAGAGAAAAAGTTATTACATATCATCAGAAAACAAAACCACAAGTGATTATTAGCCGAAACCACATGTTTTCTGGAGAAAAGTCCCATTGCTTACTACTAAATATCACTTTCTTTAGGAAAGAAGCAAAATGACCTGGCGGTAATAAGTAAATTTCAGCATTCCTCTGACCAGGACACAATATGCAGTACGATGCCGTCTGCAAATTTCTATTGTGATTGTTTTTGATTCCGCTTATTCTGCAACAGGGTACTATAAATAGTTACAATTATTCATCCCTGCTTATTCGAACAGATTGCAGGATATGTAATTCAACGATGAGTCGTATCTTTTAAATTATGTTTATTTAGGTAGGATCATTAAACATCTTTTTGGGGTTCATCCATATGTATCGCGCGCTGAAACGCATGTATCGAAGTACATCGCTTAGAATATACCTAAAACTATCGTCATCCTATCCCCTTCATTTTATTATTTCCTTGTCCCTCCTGTTACTCTTAGGAGCCACTATTTATCAGTTTGTTAGAAAACTTCTAGGATAAATCTGTCGCCACATTGCTTTACATGCAAAATGCCAGCGTGTATTTCGAATGAAACAACCAAGTGGCAGCCACTGTAGCCCAAATACTGTATTTCAGTCGTATCCTGGAGAAGTTTGTTGCTTATATGTCAATTTCAGGAAATCGGCGTATCAAATTTTGCATTGCAGCTACTGTGCTTTTGTTTGTTCGAAGCAATTAGCGATGGTGACAATTTTACAATGACTATGGAGCTTGTAAATCATCGGCACCTATGTACCGAAAACACTCTAAATATTTTCAGACTGTCTGCGACGTCGAGAATTCGAGATCGATTTCATTGTTAAGGGGAATTGGCCCTGCCGCGTGCAATGACAAAGGCATGCAAAGGATTTTGGGACTAAAATTTGCGAAAGATTAACCATTATTTTTCTTCAAAGTGACCGATGCTGACAACAGAAATCTGTGGGCGTCAACGGTGGCCACCATGGACGATTGGATGAAGAAATCACTGTTCTTTCAGCGTTATAAGTGGTGTTCATGCGCTGGAGTCGCTTATACCTGAAACAAAATGGGGTGTGGTATGTATGAATCCAACCACAGGCTGCAAAATACTGGATTTGATAGTCAGCATAATTCACGATTTTTTCGGAAGATAGAAAAACTGACGGTGATCCAAAATTTGAGGGCAGTATAATCGGTCACCAAAAGCATTCACATAATAGGACGATGTGGTTTCTAACCCGCTATAGTTCGATACGTTTATTTTCATTGATGTTTTTTCTGTATTTATTTCGAATTCATGCGCCGATGGGTCATATTGAAAAATTGAACATCAAAACATGTTTAATGAAATATTTGGACCACAGAAGTAAAATCGATGATAGTCCTCTCGGTGTAATGAATACGAAATAAATACGCTAGCGATTGTTGCGAAATGCAATGCGCGAGGCAGTCACTTTTAAATAGATAAAGACGTTTTCTTGACAAAAATATCTTATTATGCGCATTGCTTATGTTATATGATGAATGTCCTTACAACGCGGAAATGTAACGGCACATCGCCGTATTGGAAATTTCAGCAAATATTATTTCTAAATGAGATTTTATGTCAGTACCCAAATTTCCTCAAGGCATATTTCAGTACGTGTGGTATAATTGCGGGAATAGATTATAATAGATCAGTTTACCGATGAATAAACAACTAGAGAGTTTTTTTCATGAAAAGCCCGGTTTTAAATCTGTAAGCTGATAAGATGATGCTGGAGAAAGAAAGTAGACTATTCTGTAGACGTTTAGACCAAACGTACAAGGCGGTGTTCTTCGTCTGACTGTAAACAAATCTCTAGTGAACGACGGGGAAACCGACAATACTTCTTAGTAACAACAGAAATACGTGATTAATCACGTGCACGCTTAATATTATTCTGGTTTCCCAATTTCGACCAAGACTGGAACGTCCTACGTTGCATTGAGATTCAGCAACGTTTCAAGCGGTACAGAATACCGCATAAAGCAACGCAAATTAAACCACCTGCCCTAATGAAATATGCATGGAACTAATTTCGATTCAGTTCACCAAATGAGAAGCAGCAGTAAACATATTTTGATTTTTACGTGAGGAAACCTATACGTTAAACAGACCTTTGGTCAAGAACAGGTTTGCGTTCTATAAGTTGACATTCTAGACCTTGGACACGGTGATAGGCTTACTATCCAGCGTAATTACAGATAATTTGGAATGGAACCTTAAAATTATATTTTCATAGACTCACAGTCTTTACTTCTTTACATTAGAAAACTACTTTCATGAAATGTGTCACTGTCTGGAGCCAAATTCTTAGAATGATGCCTAAGTAAACTCGCTAGCAATGAATTTACTGTCCACCTCCTGTAACATTTTCCGCAAAGGTTCTCACGAGAAACACAAAGGCCTTCAAGGCTCAAGTGTTATCGTCTGTAACTTTTAACTAACGGGACTTCAACTGCGACTAAAAGCGATGTGGAATTTCTATTTTGTTGGTTATTTTATCAGTTTCAGTGTCTGATCGCCGAACTATTGTCGGCCGAAAAGATACGGGCAGAATGACTGACATTAAATTATTTGAAATGATTTGTTTATCTGGTGTCAAGTTAAATGAAAGGAAATCGGTCATGAATCTACAGAGTTTGGTGACAAGTAGGTTTTCTGTAAAACGCGAGGTGAAATGCACTAGTGGACAAGAACGCAATTTAAATCATTCAAATTGTAGAACATGCAACTTACTACAGAGCTAGATAGTTGAATTTTTACGCCTTATGTTTACAGTCTAATAATATATAACAGCTTGTCAGTACGTTGTTTTAGAAAATTCGATCACTGCACAAGATGCCCAGACTTCTAAGCGAATTTACATAAAAGTTAATATTAGCATTTACAAAGTCTTAAATATAAATAACGAAATGGCCATTTCGGAATCCATACCCGTAAAATGTATTTAGCGATTGTAAAATTTATGCGCCATGGTCTTCTTATAGGATGGAGAATTCACCTAATAATTGGTCTCGCAGCCCAACTGAGTGAGCAACTGTCCTGAGCGACTGTTTTAGTTCTAATTGAGTTTTTCATGCTTTTTGACAAATGTTTATCCATGTTAACCGGTGCTTAGACCAAGTTTTCGTCTCTATCCTGTTAATCCGCGTGTTAATACTTATTGCGTGAGCGTGCGTGACAAAATTCCATTGAGGAATTGCGATTGGACAAGACGTAGAGTACTTTGCAGTTGCGGCTATAACCTGATTCGTAGGTTGACCGATCAGAAATGACTATAAATACAGTTGCTACTCGAAGCATTCGGGCAAATGCAGTCCCAAAGACGGCAGTCTGTGCTACCCACAAACAAACCCACGTTATTTAAGTCCTTCTCAACGTCGGAGAACAATCGCGCGTCTTATGATGCTACAGCGGATAAAAAGGACAGCTTCGGCACTCTTCACTACTCATACACGGCCATAAACCGCCTACGAAGGATGTCAAGAATGTTTAAATCACAGGGGCCAACTGAGGCTCTGAAGACTGTTCTTGGTGATCCTAATCGCATTCGTTTTATGGAGCTTTCAATGGAGCACGAGAAACTGGTAGTCGAGTGGAGGCGAATCAGCAATTTTCTAGACGGTCTTCTGGCCGAATATATGGACTCCAAATCCTTGGACATTGTTCGACGCTATAAGAAATTGCAATCAATTGCAAAAAGAATAATATTTAATTTACGCTTAAAAGACCCAACATTTTTTACGAAATTCACCTCTGGGCATGAAGATGACCCCTGCGAGGAGGTTTGTGGGAGCGTTTTGCAGAGTGTAGTCAAACAAAAGGCTCTTCTGGCAAAACATGAAATGATCTGCGACGGTAAGTAACAGGCCGTTCGGTTGGTATCCATTTTAAACTCGTGAAATGCGCGTCTGCGTTTATTTATATTAGTAAAAAGATTGATAATTTACCATCGGACACCTCGTCAAATTGTGCGCGTAACTTCAAGACGAACTATGATCTCCGACACTGTCCTTTATAAATGGAATCTGGGTTTTGTTTTTTTAGGAATTACTTTTATGCCGCAAATTTACAAATGCAACTATTTATCGAATAAGTATTTGAAAACCGACATTAATTTCCATCTCAAGAAATTCTTCATTTGAGTACTAAACACAGAGATTGCTGTCACCTTTGGCCATATAATGCATAGGCGCTTCATGAATTTCATTCATTACCACCGCCAAAGACGGTCAAAAGTCACATTTTCATCGCTGAGTGTAGGTAAATATTTAAGCATTTTGCAAGCCTACGGGAAGATGGCAAACGTTAAAAACAAGTCCACAAATCCAGCTTCTACCATTTCGTCTATCGGCAACCTGCACAAAGTAAGAAAACAGTTATTCGTTGCCATCATTTTATGGGGCCTACAATGGGCATAAATGACAAAAATACCAAGAAAGCTATTAGTTAAATGTGGAATTAACACCGGATGTCTAATAACACAGGTTTAGTGAGAACTGCAAACAGTGCACTATTAATTTGTTCCAGGCAATGTAATCTGGCTGCAAAGTGTTCGGTTCTTGTCGAAAGCCATGTCTGCTGCTGTAATCCTTTATTATTTTAAAACAAAACTTTTGTCTTCCTTTTCTAAAGTTGAAACGCAATAAGGAAGAGCACGTATTTTTTCATCAGTTGTAATTTATCAGAGATGTCGAAAATGATAGATATTAGAAATTATGGTAATTTTTTTGAATACTAAAAATTTACTGCAGCTCCAGTAACAATAATGGTATAGTTGGACAATTCCAGAATGTATTGTATTTCTGCTTCGTACCACTCAATGAATTAGCATCATGAAATGAAGATTGCGTTCCTGACCTTTTGCGTTATAACCCTGCCCTTGTGACGCCGTATTTCACTGTGTTTCCCAGTAAATGAAATAAAATTTATTCAAAGGCCACACATACACTAAAACCTTTCATACGTTTGCAGCGGCTGTCTAAGACGCTGTCTGTGTTAACATCGCCATTCCAGCCGCAAGCGTTATTTCGCACCCTTCCGCTTGCTCTTCTAGTCCACCGAGATATTCAGAATTTGGACGTGCCTGCGAACGTAACGGAAAAATCACTCTTTTCGCTTTTCTCTGCAAAAGCATTGTGACTTTGAGTCCGGCCCACATCAGTCCAAAACACCTTACTGATAGTCATTCTACTTCGATCGACGAACTTGTGCCTTATGTATTTAATTGTTATCAAAATGCAGCAATCACCGACGTTAAAATATTGTAATGCTCACGCCAAGTCCTCAACAAATAAAAATGCAACTACTTTGTGGTGGTTTACCTTCAAAAGAACGTACTTACAAAATCTAACTCATCTTCAGGCATATTGGCCAACCTGCTATCTAGCATCTTCTACAAAATAGTTCGCAGACACAAATGTGTTTTTATTTCCTAACTAACCATTCTTTTTCAATGTACGAACTTCTAGTTACTATTAGGGACTTTGTCCTTACCGAAAATTTACTTTTGCATAGAAAGTATTTCACAAATATCGTTTTGCGTAACTCAAGCATTATACCAACTATGTTTCACTAACAACCTCAGGTAAAGAACGTTACCATTCTTGTATGAATAATGTTAGGTTCAGTGTACCTTTCGTTATTGGTAGGCTTCAGAACGCTTCGTTTTTTGTTTTTTGCTGAAAAAAAGCAGACAGCCGAGAAGCTCTAAAACACAAAACATGTGACTAAGCCTGATTAAAAAGTCAAGAAACGGGAGATTTAATATTTAAATGAATAGTGGCTTTGTTGATTAAGCTGCACTGATAAGCCAATGATCACCAACTGGCAACCGCAAGACCTGTGCAGCTTGTTGTTAGAATTCTAAAAGTCCGTGTCTTCCTAGGAAAAAGCCTGCAGATTCTCGTGCTAAATTATTATCTAGAGAAGTTTTTATCGCATTTTTAACGTTCGCTTTTAATTTACTTGATAGCGTATTCCATTAAAGTTGCAACAAATAATTGCGAGAAATGTTTTTGCACCCAGATACCGGAAGAAAACTTGCATTAGTTGATGCCTCTTCATTCAAAGATTTTATTTTGCATCAAGCTATCTGTAATCCTAAACTTCACAGGTATGTGTTTGCGGATGGACGCTATAAAAGTCCAGTCGATACTGATGTTTTTTCTGCAAATATTATTTATGTACAGACAATAAGATAAGCACATGCTACAGTAAAATGCAGACACTTTACTGCAAACAGATAAGGTTGTAGATGAGATGGTACCGACAAAGACAAGGGATACCGGGATAAGGTTGTACTTGAAACCCAAACATGCGTATTTCATATAAATTACTTTCCATTTTGTTTTGATTGTATGCAAAGCCACCTCTACTATAACACAACTTTGCTGTTACTGCATTTAAGCACGAATATTTTACTCTTTTGCTTTAATCTAAGGGCTTTCATCGGAGGAACTTTTGGCAGAGATTAGGAAATTGGAGCAAAAGAACGAAGACCTACAAGAACGAATTGATGGACTTGTGGAGGCTATCAACCAAATGGACGATGAATACCAAAGTTGTAAGGGTGATACTTTCATACGCCGTTATCTCATCTTAAAGATGAATGTAAAATTTGTGTTTGAAAAGAACAGAAACATGCAGTAAACAATATGCCTTTTTGTCTTCATTATGGCGTTAGGGCTATGATCTCGTTTTCTAGCAGTTCGATTACGGCTTTTTTAAATGTTCACCTCAAAATTCAACGTTTATAATTTATAGTACTTTTGAATGCAGTCAGTTAGTAATGTGCGGACTTGGAGAAATTGTAAAATTGCTAATTTAATAAAAGTGAACGCTACTTTGCTGGTTAAGAGTGTTTCTTTGGGAATTAACTCGTGTTTTCAAATAAAATTACGCGGGGATCTGCATACTAATTTTAAATATGCCTATTGCATCTGAATACCGCAAAGGATGAAAGGCAAACTGGCTACACACAACAGACATCCACCTGTAGGTCTTTGTCTCCCTGCTGGTGTCTTAATTTATAAACTAAGTCCCATTTCACCTGCTTTTTGATTTTGTTTTCTAATATAAAATGAACTGTAGTCTTAAGGGTAAAGGGATACAATATAAACAGCGCAGATATTAGCAAAAAGCCTATACATGCGTGTTTCCCCGATATTCTGCCACTGCATGACATAGCTGCAAGGGGTTCGGCCCATCAGTGGGTCCCTCGTCTGCCTCCTGGCAGATGTTCCGTAGTCTGCAGGTTTGGTTCCTTATTGCAAAGTTTTAGACTAGAAGGAGTCTCCGAAAAGGTTTGCGGAATAAATGCAACATGTACTTTGATTTGCCTTGACATACTGAGAAGACTGGAAGGTATTTGTTGGCTGTGAACTAAAAACCTATAAGCAGTTCCTTGTTTCTATTGGATATAAAAGCGCAGATTTGATGAAATCGTTTAAAGACAAAGTAGACATATACTAGATCCATGATAAAATAATTCTTACCACAAAGGTATTTTTATGTGCGTTCTTCAGCAGAGCTACGGGATCCGATCTTCTCGTTATGTCTTAGGGCTCGTTCAAGGACCTCAAAGGCAACAGAGAGAGACCAGGAAGTGTAAAGTGACCTTCCAAATTTTTTCTTGGAGCTTTGCAACTGCATGTAAGGATCCCACACTGAGACCCAGGTGACCATATAGCAGTCAATACCCGTAAACGCATTTAGAACATGAGTTGATGTCATCTATGGCAGCCGTCGGAACAACAAGTCGCTGGTTCGATAACTAAAGTGCTGGAATCAATGACTTATGATTCCGGGTTCCAAATCTAGGTGCTCCAAACCTGGACTTGGTTATAGATGTAATACGTAAGTTCTAGGTGGAATAAAAGACAGAGAGGAGAGCAGGGTACAGCTCTACTGCGACAGTCATTCTGTGCATATGAATTCTCAATCCTTTTGTCCGTGGCTTCGTATTTGGGGGTTCTGCCCCTGTCTGGTTTGCATGTTCCTACCAGCTCAGCTGTGGGCGCCCACATGGGCAGACCCTCCTCCGTTATCGACCCCTGAGGGTCGCGCGTGACTTAGCGGCGCGCAAATTGCTAGCTCGCGCGACGGCTTGCTAGGCGAGGCTGGCCTGCGGGTTTGTGGCTTTTTGTCAGGCATTAAAACCGAACGACAGAAATGGTGCATCATATTCTGGGCCGTCCTAACTAGGTCACTGGTGACGTCTTATAAGCTCGAGGTGACTATTCCAGTCCTCCGTGTCTTTTTCAAAACTCTCTTTAACTGAAGGTTTTATTTTTGTTTAGGTCATTGCAATCTTTTATTTGATTTAACTCGATCTGTTCATGTAAAAGATGAAAATATTAAAAACAAATGCTGTTGAAATAAAAAGTTTCGGACACGTTGCTTGCTAAGTGCAAGTTTTCATGAAAAAGTTCTGTACTAACTTGCTTCTGAACAATTTCCTTTACGTTCATATGTTGTCATTTTTCTTAACACCTGAAGCATTTGTCCCCCATGAGAATTAAATCAAGCATGAACGAAAGAATTTAATCGCACCAATAACGTTTGCAACAGTCCACCAAATGCTACCAGTTTCTACACGGTTTTGTCAGTAAAAGAAGGCATAAAACTGTATGTGTTCAGTCTAGCTAGACAAAAGGACAACTTAAAAGTCGAAAAATAAAATTCCGCGTCCTTATATTATAAAACATTACCTTGATAACGGTCACCCCGTTAACTCTCAAAGATTTTTTCGAGTATTTGTTTCGGCAAATACAGCTTGCTTATTGCGCCATTGGAATACTTTATACATATGGGGAAAAAGTCCACAAACAGCCAGCCCACGCTGTCAAAATTTCCTTGCCCTGATAATGTCCAGTCCTTTAGTATACACGCCCCTATTGTGTTCTATCATTCCATTCTCCTTCCATGACGTTTTCGGTTAATCCTTTATGTCGATTAGACCGGTTGTTCTTGGCAGTAACCTCACTGTCTTTGCGTCAATTCTCTGAGAAAATGCAGTTTGCTTTATACTTTATATTCGTTATCAGTGTTATGCGGCGGCCTGTAGCAGTTGTCCTTGCCAACCTTTTTGGTAGAGTAAATTCTATTGTTTGTGCTTCTTTAAATTTTCACACATTTTAATCCTCAAAATAATTAGGGTCACCTTAATTTGCATA